CATTCATTGGATCAAGTCTAGGTGGAGCTCTATCAATGAGATCGCTTAAGCACCATTTGAAACACCAGAATCCAGGTTGTAATGAGTCCGAACTATATATTTATAGTTCGCCAGGCTTGGAAAAGAAGCATGCGAGGAGGCTGACGGAGCTAATGGGGGCAAATTTCCGGCAAATGCATGCATATTGGCACGCCCGTGACTTCGTAGCTCTTACAGGCCACTATCCAGAAGTTGTTGGACAAGAGTTCTCTCAAAGTCCGCCGCCTGCATCTGCCGCTATCCAAACCGTCCCCAGGAAACTTTCATGTCTTAACAAGCATCTTCTACCTTTCCTATCTATTCAGGAGGGGTGGGGAATTACCCTAGCTTATTCTCAGAACATTGCCGGTCAGGGGCCCACTGTTAATTGGTCCCTTCGAGCTGCTTCAGACATGCTTAGGCAGGCACTGGGATTTCCATCTTGTTGGTTGATTACTGGTAGTATGGGTTTACTGACATGGTCCAAGAAACAGTCTAGCCGCATATTTGATCGGAAACGGGATGAATACTGTGGTCATCATTGATTTTGTATAGAAGTTTCTGGAGTACGGTGGTATTGAACATAGCGTGTACAGTGCTTGTTAGTCCCTTGTGATATGGAACAATGATATGCAATCACGGTTATTTCAGCTCAACATCCACTAGGTCTTAAACTGTCCTTAAGTTAGTTTTGTTAGTAAAGGAATATTACTCTGATCAGCTACATGGGTGTAGTGAAAGCATCTCCGTCGATATGCCAAAGTTTTGTGTTAGAAGGCAAGGGTAATGTATAAAAAATTACCGAACTGGGTCTTTCTTTGTATTAAGGTTAGCAAAGCTTATATATACTGTAGTAACTCCATGGGCCAGAATGGTATTTGCGCCATATGAATCAATAGGCGTGAATCAGGGCGAGGCGATTGCGACCTTAGAATCCAAACGGTGGCAAAACCCTAGGGTTCCCACTACCAGAGTGAGCGCGAATGACGATCTGACCATCCAGTGAGTCTGACGTGAACTTTTCACACCACGAAAAGGCGCTGGAGAGGGTGTGAATAGTAAAATGGCATGAGCACATCCAATAAACCATAATATTTTTCATAAAATCAAAAATAGATACATACAACAGGAGGGATTCGCTGGTGGTCACCCACCCAACTACTAACCTCCCGGCGTGTGGCTTAAGTACGGCTGAGCGGACGGGAAGCCCTGTTCTCCACACCCTATGGTCGTATGTACTTATTCTCTTTTTGCACATGATTATATCGAGCAGTAAGAGTTTCTCTACATGTATCTCACATATCTCCCGCATTGAGTCCCACCTTGAAGTTCTAAGTTTGCCTGCGACATTCAACCACTACTGGTGAAGACAGATCTCGCTCTTTGATGGGTATCTAATCTTCGCATCGACGCCCACATACTTTGGTACTTTAGAAACCCTAGGAGAAATAGCACGGCCTGGACTATCCTGCATTGCAAATTATGCTTCTCTCAAGCCTATGAAAGTGGGGCCGAAATTGTTAGCACCAGAGGCTTATAATCCGGGTCTATTGCAGTCCAAAAACCAATAGTCCGTTGGTAGGTGTGCTAGCGCCAGTTCCATCACAATGTCAACTCTCCCTTCCGATAACCCACTCAACGACAGGAGGAGACTTGTTGGTTGGAGTGGGACTAAGACGCAATGTACATACATTTAGACTCCGAGCTTATGTGTTCGGTGGCGTAAAACGACGACTGCGGGTGGTGATCGGCACCCACATACACGAGGCTCAAGCTCGGATTCCCTCCAACTTGATGGATAATTAGCCGATCTGGCCTAACAGTATATGGATTTGCCACGTTCTCCCCACGTTGAAGGTTTCGATCATTAAACACAGAGTTCTTTACATATGCAGGGGAGAGTTCTGAGTTCACGCTACCGTATCTTAACTTTCCAGAGTTATACGAACGCCTTAAATTCCTGTCTTTCCACGGCGGTCATCCAGTTCTTGGCAGCTGTGCAATTCACATAGCAGAATAGGCCGTTGTTCATAGTAGGGGTATGTGCTGCAGCTTAAGAGTTGGACTTTTGGTAATAACTCACAGGACAAGATGCCTGAAGGTGAGAATCTCCGGAAAATAACGCAACATACCATCCATGGTTGGTAGCGACGATCTTCCACCGATCTTCAACCAATGGCCGCCCCACGCAAGTGGTTTCTGAATGGCAATCACTTCCCGGGCCTAAGTAGTCCGGCCATAGGAAAAAACATACAAGCTTGTGGGCCATAGATTGGGCCTGTCGTGTTCGGGGCGGGGCCTCTGCCTTGACCTGACGACATTGGGGCGTGGATTATTCTGAGAGGGTCTTTTCCTGAGCCCCTTGAGCTTATTTTGAAAATGCATTTTATCTCTCGCGATCCCCCTACTTGGCAATGTAGCATCACATTGTCTGCCCTGCACTAAGTCCTCCTGCAATAAGAAACACAATGGTATCCCTTCGGGGAATGATATTCGGCTCCTTTGTTTTAGCTGTCTCAGTTGTAGCTGCCGATACTACAGCTGAAGTCCTTCCACAATGTGCGGTGCGCTTCAATGTCTTTGAACTTTAGAAAATATCTGACAGCATAGCAGGCCAACTGTGCGCAAAGTGCACTGCAGCAAAATACTTCAACTTGTTCCGATAGCGATATGACATGTCTTTGCACTGATCATCTGTATCAATCTACTTGGGAGGAGTGCGTACTTGCAAATTGCACGGTCAAACAATCATTCAGTATGTTGCTATATGGTCCTGGCTTGCTTCCTTCACACTGAACAATATATAGCTGCCAAACGGCTGCAGTCTCAACAATGCAACCTCCCCACTCATCACGGACGCCCCGCCGCAGATCCCGCTCTGATTGTTCCATTGTCCCTTGCGACAATCCTCTTTGCTACCCGGATATTCGCCAAGTATATGCGTATCAGTGGCAGTTGGGGGTGGGACGATTATACTATTATTGTGGCATATGTGAGCCTGCTACTTTACCCACCTTGCTGCAATAAGATCCACCATTCTAATGTCCACTGAGATTTTGGCCGTGACTGCATTCTCAATGAATGTGTCCAGTTAGTTAAAATGCTCAACCCTATGTATAACAGGAGGCAACTAACCCGGCGTAGTGATCCATCATGGGTTCGGGAAAGACATCTGGAACATCACACCCTTTGGAGAGATAACTGAGATAATGAAGGTTAGTCGTTTCGATCACAGTCTGGTAAAATGCTCAATCTCCTTTGCAGATCTTCTATATCTACGTTTTGGTATACAAGATCCAGATATCCCTTGCGAAGATCTCGGTGTGTCTTTTTCTACTGCGGATTTTCCAGTCGACCACATTTCGCTACATGGCCTATACCATCATCGCTCTCAATTCTGCCATCGCGGTCACCTGGGTTCTGGTGGATGCCCTTCGGTGCACCCCAGTCCATCTGGCATGGACAGGATGGGCGAAGGAGGAGCAGGGGAAATGCATCAATTTCATCGTGGCTACTTTCGTAAATAGCTTTGTCAATATTCTAGTCGACACCATTATGGTCGTCATGCCAGTGTACGAAGTGATCAAACTGAATCTCAGCGCGCGAAAGAAAATAGGAGTTGGTGTTATGTTTGCCATGGGCTTGATGTGAGTAGTAGGCATTGGCGGACAGTCTATTCTTCTTCTGGGCTGACCATTCTCACGTCACCAGTCTCACCATTGTTGGGATCCTTCGGGTCGTTGTCTTCTGGTATAACCGGTGGAACAAGAACCCAACAGGTATGTTAACTCAGCGACGAGCTTGTGCTCTTCCATTTCCCAGAGAAACTGACTTTGTGCGTAGTCGAATTACAGCCGATCAACGTCTGGTCGGTGATCGAGTGCCAAATTGCCGTGGTCTGTGCGTGCTTACCTGCAGCCAGGGCCGTATTGGTCCGCCTCTTCCCCAAACTGATGGGCGGTTCTGCTGGAGAGTCTAGTGCACGTAGAGCCACGCGACCGAGTGCTCCTGGTACCAGTGGCAAAATCTCCCAAACGATGACCTATACCGTGGAATATAGCAGAAGGGCCCAGGAAGAGGCATCCAATAGTGATGTCAATCTTGTGGAGTTCCATCGAGAGGCAGTTTAAATATATATGAATTGCGGGCACCCCGTTTGTTTGTTTGGAGGCCAGTGCGGAGCTCTTATATGTAAGTGTCTGCCTCATCAATTCACATATGATACATGGTTGTCAAGATAAGTATGACGTAGATAATATTCCCAGAGTAAAAACGTTTACACACTTAAAGCCTAACTCGTTCACGACTATGTCTTATTTTAAATATCATTCTGCTCCCATGGGAGATGGCTCCTGCGGGAATGCTTGTGCTAGAAGCAAGATATATATTTGAAGTGTTAATGTGTCAGTGTCACCGCCCGTCTGTATGGGCGACCGTAATCCACGTTAGCTCTTCACGTGGCCCTCAGAGCCCTAAGTTGAGAAAACAACGCCAAAACAGGTCGGACTTGAAGCTATTGAGGAAGATGTTGATCAGGTAACCCGGCTGAAGAGATATCCTCCCAGTTTGCGATGGTCTCTTAGCCGAAGTCTAAGCCTATCTAACTCAAGCGCCTGTACTCCGTACTTTGAGCTTATAGCCCCCACGCCATACACGCGCTCGGACCCAAAAGCCAACGGAGGCTGCATACAGGTTAGTGAGAATTAGGAAACGACACGAATCAGAGCTGTTCAGTTCGGAAAAGTCCACTAACCGGTTCCAGCCCCTCTTTGATGTTTGCTGCGGAAAAAAGAAAATAGTCTATTCCTGCTGAAGAACTGACGCGTTCCTAATTCACTCTGCTTCCGATTTGATCGTTTCCATTGTGTACCCTGCAGATAATAATCTGGGCCATAGCTCTTCCTAGGATAATATCGCTTATCAATTAAACTTATGAACTGTACTACCCGTTATATCCTGTCAACTGAACGCTCTTCGACACAATGGGCCTTCGACAACGTCTTGCCAGTATGGACATCCAATGTTATCGTGCCTTGCGGGGCTTAGCTGACAATTCGCGTGTACAGGGCTTTTTCCCTTGCTCGCGTACCACCATGTCCTCATGGGTGTTTGTTCTGTGATAATTATCCTCTTATGTAAGATAAATTTGTCTTTATAGTTCCTTGGTCTTGATTCTTATTGTATTATACGTTTCCTGATATTGCTTCCACGCTATGGGCTAATGAACACACAAGCTGTTCTCCTCGCGGGATGCACATCCTCCAACGGCATGAGCAATATCTATCTAGTGTCCCTCAAGTACAGGAATGGTAGTATTTCGACACCTAGCGACCCCGCGTTTATAAACCCCGGCATTGCAGAGAAGGTCTACAACATTTCTCAGCCCCGCAACACCACGATCCTGGAAGTACGGGCGGGATACATGGGTCTCTGCTTGACTCAGAGTGACGGCGCGCAGTTCTGTTCCAACAATGCTGCAGCGTTGGCCAGCATGGTCAAGGATCAGGGATACGGCAGTAATGGCACTGCCGATCCACTGAATCTGATTTGGATTGCCAAGAACTTCAAGGAGACCATTGTTTTTGACGGTTTGATGTGAGTTGCTCCAGTGTTTCCGTTTTGTTCATTTTCATAGTATTCTTTCACCATCCCTGTGGAGATACATGAAACTGTTTTATAATTCTAGATCGTATAGTATGAACTAGGAGGGTAGCCCTAACATGGAAAACTAGATTCGTTGCCGTTGTCGCGACATTCATTTGTTTCCTCGCATTAGGAACATTCCCTGGATGGCATGAGGAAGTCGACGAGACCGGTTCAGAGCGCGAAGTCAAGCCCTTCCCTTCGCGACCAGTGTCGCAAGCTGCACTGGGTTTGAGTTCATTGGGGTTCATATTCGCGTTGATCTCAATCCTCTGGCAGCATATTAATAGCAGCGCTGCAGGCACCATGGCCGAGAGTCTTACGTATGGGGCCATCCAGAGCCATGTTGGAACGGCGGCAATGATTCTCGGGTGGGCGGCTGTGGCCTGCCTTGGGATTGTTACTCTGGCCTTGCTGGTTATGATCATGAGTATTAGTCTTCTCCGTCGGTTGACGGATGGGGAGTGATTTCATGTTACTTTTTATGCCCACTTTGGATTGGCATTTGCGTTTTCGTTTTTTCGTTTTGTTAGTGAGGGTTGCAGTAATTTTGGTGTTTGATTCTAGAGAGTTCAGAACGAGAGGACAGTGTACTATGCGTGCGATATATCCAGTTCACCAAGATATAGTAGATTTTAATTACGAAAATACCGTGCGCTCGCCTCTCCGGAGACAGATGTCCCCTCCGAGGAGGTCGTACTTCTCCACGAAAAGGATGCAGCCCTAAAATACAGAACCTGCGCCCCAAGAAATCCGACACCAGTTATTAGAATCACTAGAATGGCGGCAGTCAACCCTGCTTTAATACCCGACGCCAGTGGACGCGTCCATATCAATGCGAGCGGGATTGCAACTAGGGCCATAATCCCCAGCACCCAGAGAAGCAATCCGCGGATCGTTGACGGAATACGCTCGAGCAGGCGCATAACTATTCTCGGGAGTGCATAGCGAAACTCTGGATTGGAACGGCGCCAATATGGTACGCCCACCAGGCCTAGGATGGCAACCATGATTACGACGGTCACTGTGCCCTGCACGCCCTGATCCAAACTCCGAGTCCAGAGCACGGCTATGGGTGCTACTGCAACAATCCCAGTCATCAGAAGGAGACCTACCGGGAATCCTACCACCTTCCACAACTCGGCCCCACCCTTGCGACTATTCCTGTCTATCCAGACCCAGGTTGCCTTAGTACTCCGGAGAAGTGCACTACCGAACCATTGTAAGAGTAGGAACATCGATAGAGACCTAACCTGCACGGGAAGGCCGCGTTGCTCCGCGTATCGTCTAACATCCAGCTTCACACTCTGCTTCAGACTTGCTAGCCATTGGCTGCGCATTGTTAATCGCATCAGGTACGCGAACGTTGTCACAGTGCTTGCGACAACGACAAATTTCCACACGGGCGCTGAATCTTTGAAGGGCTCGATTTGCATTCCAAACACGGATGTTGAAAACGACAGTGGAATGAAGATGAACGCTAGCTCAGTGAGTCGCGTTACGGCGTGCGCCTCGTCGATGGAGCGTCGGCTGTCCAGAAGACCCATGTTCGATGTCAAGGATGAAGATGCGCGTCGTAGCCGGGTGAGAATCTGGTTTATTTGGTCGAAGAGGTCTGATACACTTCGGATGATGTCTGAGCTGCCATCTGCTACTGCTAGAGATGTATTGGCTGGGTGTGTGATATCGAAAAATGCCAGAAAGCTCCTAGTAGACGTGATGAGGTCCGATAGTTCTCGCTCAGCTTTACTTATGAGTTGGCGCCACAATGCCAATCGATCCTCCATCTTCGTGTCGTCGAGGATATCAATCTCCATATCGCTCAAGATCTCATTGAGCACCCGAAGCAAAGTCAGGGTGTCTTGCCGAATGATCTCAAATAGGGTATCTACCAAACTGACTGGGGTAGCCTTTTTGTCTACCATGTGATGGATCTCCTGCCTCGTGGACCTGGTCTCGTTGAGTTCATCCTGGAGAGTCGCCAAGAAATCACCGGTCACAATAGCCTCCTCCAGGTCGATAGTAACGGTCTTCCGGGCAGCCATCTGCTTAACCAAAACCTGGATAGTTCTCTCGAGATTGACTTTTCTCTTGTGGACTTCTTGCCTCTGTCGCCTGAGCAACCAGTCTAATACCCGACGCCCAGTTGTCTCTCGCCGTGGGTTCTCGATTGGGATCGCAAGCGCCTCGACGCCATCGTCGCCCTCGATTATCAGGATTGGCCGAGTTCCTTCTCCATTACCATCACCAGTATCATGCTCATCGTGATCACTATCGGCGTTAGCAGCAATCTGTAGGATTTCCTGCGTCTGATCATGGCTATAACTAATCGCCGGCAGCGGATCAAGCAGCACGATAACTATACTTTCGTTTAGTTTTCCAAGTTATGAATCCACAGGCGAAGCAATTACTGACCGATTTCATAGTCCCTATCCTCAACCTTCTTCTTCCAAATTGATGCCCGCTCGACTAAGCCAAACTCCCTCGTCTCCTTCGCGGTTCGGTGCGGATCCACACGTAGGTCCCACTCGGGGCGAAAAATATTTGTCTCTGCTTTGAGACTAAAGATCGAGTTGCCGGATATGTAATCTAACCCATCACGATTCAAATCTAGTAGGTCTTCCCGGTCACGGTTGGAGAATAGTGGCTGACGCCGATACATGGGCCGAACCCACTGGATCGACACGTATGACTTATTCAACCCTGCTGTCTTCCATGACCGCGCCGGTGGATCATCATACTGCGCACCACTGTAACCAGAGTTCAACAGATGCTCCTCGAAGAATTCTGGCGTGACTCCGAACGTCTCCCCCAAGGCGTGAATAGTACGCTCTGATAGGTCTTCGACGATAAACACGCGCCTGCTCAATCCCTCGGGCGCGTCGCGATAGCTGGCAACTGATTCAGGGTTGTCGATTTCTACACTCGAGGCCGTGTGATCGTCATAGTATTCATACAGCATGATTGAGGTTCTCTCCACTCGTGGAGTTTTGCGGATATTTCCATTTGCGATGTGGTCGAAGACACCTGCTGCGCGGTCTAGGATTTCAGCGTAGGATGGGCGCTTCCTTGTCAGCTTATCGGTCGCCTGTCGTTGCACTGCCAATTGTTTTGGTGACGGTGGCAGTGATGGAGGCAATGGAATAGATGAAGGCAGTATGAAAGTGTCATCCCGATCCAGCAGCTCCAGTGAAGATCTGGCTGCATTTTGGCCTCGTTGTCCATGGTCGCTGGCTGTCGACGATCCATCGCGAGATCTAGGCAGTGGAATCTGCTGAGGGATGTTGCCAAACGCGGCTGGATCGTTTTGCAGGGCGTCATCGAGCGAGCTTCGATGCTTTGTCTTTGTCTTACGCGTTCTACGTGGAGCGTCCCCCGCTTCGGCTTGTTGCTGTTTGATCCATTCGAGGACGCGCCGGGATGGTTGCTGCTGAGCCATGGAGCTGCTAGGGCTATCGAGCGCAGTGATTATTTCCCCCTCTATCTGCTTGAAGCTTCGGTACATACATTATCCCTGCTTTACGACTACTTTTCTCGAAACGCAATGACTCCGTAAGCGCTGACAATTCGCGCGCTAAGTGGCGGCGCACGGCTAGTGTGATAGGTGAGGTTTAGTTGCAGACTTGAAGTGTTGGACAGTGGCCCAGACCCGCTAAACATGGAAAGAAATTTGTCGATCTCCTTTCCTTCTCTTATCCTGTAGTCTCTCTCTTTCCATTTGTGTTCTTCTGTTTTTGCGGCTTTTTCTGTTTTATTTTTTCCCTTGCACTTTTTCTTGAAGCTCTGAGTTTGGCTGCATAACCCCCCTACCCGACAAGCTTATGTATACACGTACAGTATTGTAGTAATAGGCTTTGGGGTTATTATCCTCCTTTCCTGGTCTCTAGTGTGGCGGAGGAACACTAGAGTGCGCTAGGAGGCATGCTGAGGCTTTTGACCTCGGTTACGAAAAATAGAAAAGAAAGTGATCGTTTTTCGAATCTCACCTTACCCTGCTGTACACTCGCCAACTTAGCTAAATTATTTAATCAGTGACTTCAACATAAAAATCTGCCTCTCTTTTCTTCGTCGTATTTTTCATTACGGTACTACTCAATGCATTGAATTATGAAGCAGAATATAACTGAGGTCATTCATTGCCATCATTTTAGGCTCGATGATTCGTTTTCTTGAGTAGTCATGAGTAGACCGTTAATTATCGCTCCAAATGGACCAATATACCCATCGAAGATCGCTCATACCTTTCACACCAGGCCTAGACTGCCTAAGAGTGTCCTTCATTGGCATCTTCTTCATTCGCTACATGTCAATGAGTAGAGAGCTTCACTTGTCCCCAGTGCCATGCACTCGGATCGTTAACATTAACATGTGCGCTATCTGTCTAAAGCTCGAAGGACTACATGTCGATCATCTTGTCCACAGAGATTCTCCCATTCCCTTGCAGTGCACCTATTCACAGCTTCTAGCGGGGTTAGGATCAATTGGCTTATATATTGCGTGCAGAATTAAACCAAACCCTCGATACGTGTACAATAATGTTCAGGCCATCAATGTATTATTCTCTTGACGGTCAATTAACCTTAATATTTAAGAGCTCCTTGACGGACAGTCGGTCTGCACTAGATTTACAACTTCCCTTAAAATGGTGAAAGCCAGGATGAATTTCAGTTAACTAAAAAAAGGATATTCAGCTCTTAATGGAATCAGAGCCAGAGAGCATGCATATTAACAAGCCAGTTCCCTATTTCTCTTTTTGCATTTCAGTGCCCTTCTTGTACTGGGCAAATTTCCTGTCATACACCCCTATCACACACTACAATGGGCTTTATATCCATGATTACTCGGCTCCTACTTGGGATAGCTCTTTCTGTGACAATTACCTCCTGCGCAGTAGCAATCAATGAGCAGGACTTGGCACCTGATGACATCGTCATCCGGGATGTCTGTATCCTTGGCGGCGGATCCACAGGCACATACGCAGCAATCAGATTGAAAGACAAAGCGAAGAGCGTGGTAGTTGTCGAGCAGAACAAGGTCCTAGGCGGTCACACTGAAACGCTCTACTTTGACCACAACCAGTACATCGACTACGGCGTAGAGGGAGTCTTCAACGACGAGCTAAGTCATAATTACCTCAAGCGTCTGGGAGTAGACCACAAACCGCTGCTACCAAGCACCCTAACTACTGAATATGTCAACTTCAGAACCGGGAAGAAAGTGCCTCCACCGTTTGGGAGTTCGTCCCCCGTTGAGGCTGCAAAAACGTACCGCGCAGCTATTGAAAAATTCAGCTATCTGAAAGACGGACTGTACAATCTGCCCACTCCAATTCCTGAGGAGCTTCTGATGCCTTTTGGTGATTTTGTGGAGGCAGCCGCTATCCAGGATGCTCTCCAAATCGTCAAAATCTTCGCTCATGGCGCTGGCAATATCCTGCACGCCCCACTCCTTCGTGTTCTTCAGCTCTGCGGTCTCCGCCAGACTGATTCGCTCCTTCATGGCGGATATATCACACCGAAGAAGGGCATGTACGAGGTCTATAAGAGGGCATCGGAAGTCCTCGGATCAGACGTGCTTTATGAGACCAGTGCGATCGAGGCCGAACGCTCCGACCTTGGTATCAAGATCGTCGTCCAAAGTGCCAACGGTACCCGCAAACTTATCAAAGCCAAACAGCTTCTCGTCACATTTGTCCCCGTCATAGAATCTTTAAGCGGCTTCGACCTTGTCACGACGGAATCTTCTCTATTCCAAAAATGGGACTGGGTTAACTACTACGTTGCCATCGTCAAGAACACAGGAATTCCAAAGGCCACGACACTCGTCAACGCTGACCCCGACAACACCCCCGGCAATCTCCCGCTGCCGCCTTTCCAGCTAGAGCTACAATACTCGGGTGTAGAAGGATACCTTATTAGTAAAATCATCGGTAATAGCACTTTGACCGCGCAGCAAGCAAAGGTCCTGGTGCTTTCTGATATTCGTCGGATGGGAACAGCAGGGACGTTTCCGGGCGGTGATCCTGAGGTTGTCGTGTTCGGTGACCATACGCCAACGACAGTGTCGGCCAAGAATGCTGATATTCGGGATGGATTCTACAGGAAATTGTATGAGCTCCAAGGTACCAAGAATACGTTCTATACGGGGTTGGCATTCTGCTCGGATTATTCGTCGCTGCTATGGGCGTATACCGATACTGTTATTGAGGAGATGATGTCTTCGTCAGCAAGTACTTGTTCTCTCTGCGTGCAAGGACAAACTTAGTCGGTGGTTGTATTCAACTTAGGGTTGATGGTTAAATTTAGGTCCGAGTTTGTTTTGTGTGAAGAGCAAGGTGAAGAGCAATGGGCCTATAGAATGTTCAAGGATGAATATATCTATCTGACAACCTAGGCTGGTGTGGTAACAGATACATTTGTCCCAGTGACGGCTGCACATAACTCCATTAACAGGGCTGAGAATGTACACAAGATTGAGCCCTGATCAAATGACATATAATGTCCTGCGTATATTAGCTTTACACAAATGAGGTCCGTTGGTAGGTTCCGGCATGATAAAGGAAACTTTGGCAAATTCAGCATTACCTCCGTTAATCTTTTGTCATACGAAGTGTGCGTACATTGATACAGTATGCTCTACCATATGGACTGGACTGAGAAACCAGATAACGGACGAAAATGAGGAAAGGCTGAACGGGAAAATGCAAGATGCAATTGCTAGCATCTATTTATTAATTTCAATTGCCATGAATGGGATTCCGATCAATAAACATAAGCTTTAGTCTCCCCGCTCCTCCGTTGTTTCCTATTCAAAAACACATAGTAGATATGCAGAAGAATGCACGAAATACAGACAAACAATAGTAAAGCAGCATTCGTCCAATGGCCTGTGGGGTACCCCCGAGTAGCCTCGTCCGCCTTGTAAATCCACACCCCGACAATTTGACCCGGTGCGCCGAAAGAGATATTGAGCGCGATCGCAAGCCCGGCCCCAGCAGTAGAATGGAGGTTAGAAGATAACCAGCCAAGAAGAGGAGGAATGCATGAAAAAGCGCCACTGGCCGCCACAATTAAGCAGCCATACCGACTCTATGGTATCGTTAGATGCTCAGCCTTTCTTGTCATGGAATTAGCCCTACCTGATATGCATCTGCGGGTAAGACAGCAGAGGCTAAGAAGCCTACAGCACCAATGCACGAGAATATTGCTGCGTGGATTCCGCGTCTGGTACAATGCGAGACTAAGTCAGTTTCAATATTAGAGTCCAGGTATATGATTAACATACGCGTTGAAGTGGTCGGCTGACCATGAAATTGCGACCGTTACTACATATGCAACGGCATAAGGCGGGACCGTCATCAGTTGGGCTTCTAGGTTCTCGTACCCCAAGCCGGCAGTAATGGATGGGGTAAAGAGCGAAAGACTCGAGAATGGAGTCGAAATGCCGAAATAAATCTATTATATGTTAGTAGACTACTATTGAGTGAAGGGCATAGCACATACCGCATAATGGCCGTATAATCGCCAATCAGTCAACACAGCCTTCGCGTCTGACCAACTCATCGTTTTCGCACTGCTCTTTGAACCTTCCAGCCGGAGTCTGTGTTTTGCCAAGTTGAGATCTGCGGCATTCAACCAGCCTGCTGTTTCCGGGTAGTCTGGTAATAGAAACCATACAAGGATCGCCGACGCACACGACGGGGCTCCTTCGATTATGAACAGCCAGCGCCAGGCCGACAGACCATGAGCTCTGTTCAAGTAGCCAACTCCATAAGCGATAGCGCCACCAAATGCGCCGGCTAGTGTAGCAGAGGCGAGAATGAGTGCCACACGTATAGAACGCTCCGAGACCCGATACCAAAATGTTAGGTAATATACAAGTCCGGGGAACAGCCCAGCTTCAATGACCCCGAGCAGGAACCGAATACCAGTAACATCTCCAAAGTTACGAGAGCCACCCAGACCCATTGTGATGCCTCCCCAGGCAAACATGAGGAACGCAATCCACCTCTAGGTCAAGTTAGCGAGCCACGGAAGAAAGCAGACTAGGCGATAGACACATACGCTGGGCTTCAGCTTCTTCAGCAAATAGTTTGAGGGTACCTCAAATATTCCATATGCCACAAGAAATACCATCAACGCGATCCTAGTAAAGACACAGTTAACATATGCTCTGAAATAGCAGAGAGCTTAGTGCATACGTGTATTGATAATTGCTCATTTCTGTTTCGGAGAGAAGGTCGTTGCCCATGTCCTTGTTCAATACCTTGGCATTTCCTAGAGTCAATAAGGCTTAGCATGATCTTCCAATGGGCAGGGCCTTCATGGGCAATCTTACCAATATTTGAGCGATCAAGGTAGCATAATAAGTAGATAAATGCAGACAACGGCACGATGCGTAGGTCCTGTTTCCATACCAGAGCCTTTTCAGCGGCAATGTCATAAGCGGGTGCCTCTTCTAGGCTATTTGAACTATCCTGAACCACAGTCAACATCATCTACTGTTCTGTATCGACAGAGAAGCACTGTTACGTACACGGACGCCATTCTCAACGTCCTCCACTTCATGTTCGTGGGACTTTTCGTCCTGTGCTGTCATGTCTCCACAATCAAAACAAGAGCCTGGTGGGTCGTGTATTCTGACGCTTTTCGGAGCAGGTCCGTATGAAAAATGGTCTCGAGGAGCCCAGTAAGAATCGACGATATATATGGCGTGTTAGGATTGCAAGATTTCTGCATAACTCCAAATACAAGGTTCCTGACTCAGCTTCAATTAACATCGGCATCGGCGGCCGTCACCGACGGACAATGTCCGAAGCCACTTAGCATTAGGGATACGGTTCAGTCCCCGCAGAATTCAGCCTGGAGAAGACGCGGGGTAAACGCCACTAGCGAAGAGCCGGGCGGTATTAGTCCGTAGCATCCCCACAACAATGCGAGTTGAAGTGTCCGGATGGCGGGACTACAGTCTGCCGGCTTTCCTGGCCGAAAACAATGGAGTTCCAGCTCACTTGCTCACTACTTCCAGTGTGGTCGGATGTGACGTTGAAACATGCATGCATGCGACAGATGCCATCGGCGCAAGTCAAAATGCGACAAAGCGCTTCCAGCTTGTGGGCCATGCCGGAAAGCTGGGGTTGCCTGCAAGTATGTTGATCGGACCAAAGGCCATCAGCAACTCCTGGAGAAATTGCAGCGTCGTTTGAAACACGTCGAAGCTACTAATCGTAGCTTAGCAGCGAAATTAGCTAGTCATGCTTCCCCACTCGCTCAAAGTGAAACTAGTGGAGATGGTAACGAAGTGGGATCAGAGACAAGAGCACTGAATAATGTCCCGGGAGAAGCTACTTCTAGGCTACATGAAACAGAAGACGAGAATGACGTTATAGAGGAAGTCACCTTTCTATCCAGTGGGGCAGGAGGTGAGCAGCACTTCCTGGGCTCTGCCAGCGGTGTATTCCTTGCTAGCCTGGTCAGTGCGACTATGGTCAGCTCCCCGTCCCAGGGCACACAAGAAAGAGGTCCACGAGGAAGAAGATCGAGTAGGTTTCCACCGGTGCCACTTCTAACTACTGCTTCTTCTGAGGCTTCAGCATTGCCTTCAGAGCAGGTCGCACGTAATCTACATCGTGCCTACTTTGAGCACGACCATCTCTGCTATCCTTTCCTCCATCGTGAGAGCACGCTATGCGCCTTGGATCAAGCCTACCAGGATCCCTCCTTGGAGCAAGATGCGTTTGCGTCTTTTGCATTTGGCATGATCCTCGCTATAGCCACCGCTAGTGTGCACAAGTTTAACATAGAGGCACTTCCTGATGCAGAAGCATATCAGATTCGAGCAACCCAGAGGCTAAACGAGGTAATGCGTGATGGTGGTATACAAGCCCTTCAAGCGCTGCTGTTGCTGTGCCAATATAGGATGACAAATTCGATCCAGGACACGTCAACAAGTAAGTGACAGAATCTTCATGGAGCGGATTGCTTGATCTAACTTTCACTAGGTTTATGGCACATTGTTGGTGTTGCTTCCCGGATGTGCTTCGAGCTGGGGCTGCATCGGGAGCAGACTTATCGAGCCGCCGAGACGACGGACACCAGCGACAACAGTTCAAATGCAACCATACTCTGCGAGGTCCGTCGCCGATGTTTTTGGTGTGTTGTTGCGATGGATAGGTACGAACTGCGTTTATGTTAATTTTTAAAACTAACATTATCCAACCAGGATCGTAAGCATTACTTTGGGAAGGCCTCTTGCCATACATTTGCAGGATGTAGAGGTCGCCCTGCCTGACTCAATTCATGACACTTGCTTCGATCGGGGTAATATAGACAGCCCGTCTTTTTCCCGCACGGCGTTGTTTGTTCACATTGTCCGTTACCGAATCATCTGTGGCGATATATTGTCTGCACTACACAACACATCTAATCGAACACAAAGCGATGCAACATCTGCCTTAGCGGCTAGAGAAAAACTTGCAAACGACCTTGCTCAATGGCAGCATGAGACCGCGGCGTTGTCACTTCCAGAAATTGATCTGTCCAACCCCCTTCTGGGAGGCCAATCGAGCTACCGTGCGCGGGAATGGTATGAGCTATTGTATTATAATGCCCTCCTCATGTTGTATAGACCATCACCTGCACTGTCATCAGCATCTCCTCATGACGCCGGCGTACTGCAAACTATTTTCGTCGCCGCGAAACAGGCCATCACATTATACTCCCACCTCCACCGCTCCCGGCGTATCAACTACACCTGGATAACCCTCCATTCTGTTTTCATGGCTGGCCTGTCCTACGTCTATGCTGTGGGTAGACATTTCCGAGCACGCAAACGCCGGACGGCCGCCAGTACATCCTCCCTTCTGCAGAGTGATCCCACCATAATCGAAATAGTGCATGACTCGAGAGCATGCTCAAATGTATTGGTCGGTATCTCTGAGCGGTGGAATGTGACAAAGCATTGTCATGATGTCTTCAACCGCCTAACCGATGCCATGCTCGCGGATGCCATTGAATACCACTCCCACAGTGCAGCAGGCCAACCAACGTCTGCAGCCCTCAGACCTGACGAGTCCTTACTGCCGGTGGATGCTACAGGAGCCAGCGCCACACTGAACATTCCAGGCTTTACGTCCTGGGATATAAATGATCCTACGCCAAGCTCGCTGGGCGTCGACTCCGTTCTGCGGGAATGCTTCGATGACTTGCGGCGGTTCCAGATGCTCGAAGGACATGGAGACGACCCCGTCGGACGCTTATTTCATGATTGGTTAGGGGAGATTGGAGATATAGACATGGATTTACCATCTATGTGGTGAAGATAGGATTTAGTATCAAAGCATCGGCGTATTTATCTATCCAGTCTATATGTTTTCTTGGCACAGTAAGTATGGAGTCAATCAGATCCAATCTCTTGCTAAAAACTTCTGCGGTACTTCCACCACTCGACTTCTCAAGTACTCCCCTATCCCTTTGCCCAATCCATCAATCCGACTAGAACTAGCAATGCCACCATCTAAGAAGTCCAGGACCCTAAAGTGGACAGCCAACAAATTTGTAAACTCGCATCGTTCCACACGAGGTTCAGTATCTCTTTGTGGCCAGTCATCCCCAAGCAGCTCTTTGAATCGATCAATTGTCAGGAAAGATTGCAGCCAAGGGTATTCGTCGGAGTTTCGGACAAAGAAGCCCACATTGAAATTGTCCCCTTTATCTCCTGAACGAGCATGAACTATACTGCCCAACGGGGCGAGATCTGTGGCGCCGAACTGGTTTAAAGATATAGGAACGTTGGTTTCGTAGGAAGGTCTCTGGGTTGGGTATATTCTTGTTACTGGAGTAGACGGTACGTCCTGCTGTATGCCATTGGAGAGGGTGACTCGGTGGTGTATAAGGTCAAGGGGAATAACTGCTGGAAAGATCTCCATGAATGGTTTTGGGTCCATCATCCGAAAGTCAAGGTTCATGTGATATCCTTTCCTCCGTTAGAATATGGATTATTAAGATAGTTGAGGTAGCATACCAGGATAGCTTTGCATTCGGAGAGCATATATTAGTGTTTTGAATCTTTCCGCCGAGATATCCCCCACATTCCTTGCTTGTGCAAACACGCGCAGGAATACGGTTCCCGCCTGCTGGCTCGAGGGGTTTATGGCAGGAGAGCCGTAGAGCTCAATAGACAGTTTGCTGCAGTTATTACCACGGAGAACATGGTCCAGCTGATTGTGAAGCATCTCTGCCTTCTCGGTTACATCCAGGCCATTGATGTAGAATATCGCTTCAGCTTGATAACCACCCGGGGCTGCTATCATCGCTTTTGTAGTCGATGGTGGTGGTTGTCCAGTGGCACCACAAACCTTGACACGATCGGGGCCGACCTCATCTACGGATACATTTCGCAGGTCGGCTGCGACGTCTGGATTGAGATATAACTCCCCTTGTAGCTCGTAAAGCAGCTGAGCAATGGTGTTGGACTTAGTCACTGCTCCACCATAGGCTTCACACTTCGTGATTATGCAACTGCCATCGAGGCTAACTTCGGCGATGGGGAAGGAGAGATCCACAAGATTAGGAAGTAAAGGCTTAAACCCGGAGAAGTTGGCACCTGTCACATACGGGCCACATTCGATAAGGTCTATGTCAACTACAATAAGTAACGTATCAATCACATCAGACATGGAATCATACATACGGCCAGCAACCAGTGCACCGGCAAGCTCATCCCAAGCGTCTCGCTGCCACCTATACCACCACGCCGCAGCACCAATGACTGGTGAAGCGTCTGTGACACGACCACATACGACAATGTTAGCGCCTGAATTAAGGGCTTCCACTATACCCCAAGCTCCAATGTATGCCACGGCACAGTGTGGCGTCAGTGGCCAGTCTTTCAGCTTCCAGTCCACGTGGTCCAGATGGTGCAAGTCCTGGAACCCAGGCTCCTGTTTCTGGATTGGCTCCGAGATATCATCTCCTAGTACTGAAGCCACTATAATCTGGTCGTATCCCCTCTCTTTACATAGTGCGCAAACCTTCTGCATCAGAGACGATGTGTTCAACGCCCCGGCATTTGCGACGACTTTGATATCTTTTGCTGCAACGATATCTAGACAGTCGCTCATCTGGCTGAGAAACCCAGACTCATATCCCAGATCAGGATCTTTTGATTTGGTTATGGCATTCCATGCAATGTTCATCTCCGATAACCAGTCGCCAACAATGACATCGACATTGCCATGCTGCGCCATCCGCAACATGGCCTGGGGGTGATCGCCGGTTGCACCGGAGACATTGCCGATACGGATGGGGCGCTTGTCGAGCATGCCTGCGTAAATAATGTCAGTCTCAACGGACTGCAAGCCATATGTAGGATGTAGAATACTTCTAGCTGACTGAACTGACTTGTGGGCGGACCCAAAATCTACGCAATAAACTTCCGCAATAGTAAGACCAAACAGTGAACAAAGAAACGCCAGTCGGTCGGGTTTAACTATACCGACTGGCTATATGTAATTGATCTTGCTCACCTTTGTCGTCAAACCCTAAACTACGTGCCGTGTTTTCCGTCCCGGACACAGTCATCGGTGACAGCGCCGACGGCCGATATATCGGCGATCCGGTCCTAGACCATCCATGATCCCGCTTAAGGCTGCACGCAAAATGTTTTGTACAAGATTCAGCCGGTAAGTTTTACCCCATAACTCATGATTCGTGAACTTTGCCGATCATCCCAGGTGAGGAAGCCAATGTTGGAATCTTTGTGTCCCTCAGAACTTAAAAAACCCCGTTGTGCGCCAAAGCCATGTGCACTAGTTATTGTATCTAACTGTCACTGCTTGCTACAATGAGAGCTCTGTTTATAACCTACGTACTTGCGACCCTAGAAGTCGTTAAGGGCATACCGCTGGAGCGCAAACATAAAGTTGATTGTGCAAATCTCGCTGGAACTTTTGTGAATAATGCGGCACTTATCCATCACGCACAGAGTGTGCCTATAGGAGGTCTCACTTTATCTGATGACGGAAATTCGGTCCAAAATCAGGTTCCCCTCTGCCATGTTCAAGGAACCATTGACTACATAGCTGGTGGGGATGCTACCCCAGACCCACGCCGGAATAACACCCTTACCTGGGAGCTATACCTTCCGGACGAGCCCTATTACAATGGACGTTTCCTTGCCGTAGGTAAGAGTGAACCAGCTATGGGTATATAACTGCTCGCTAACTGAGGCTCTAGGGAACGGTGGCTTCGCAGGTGATATTGATAATACCACTATGCTCACAAACCTGAATTCCGGCTTTGCTGTAGCAGGTTGTGACAGTGGACATCCAGTATCAGAAAGTGAACATAGTGGACCTGACGACTCTGTACCATTCTTAGATGATATCGCAAAAGTGAAATCCTGGATCCACAATTCAATTGCCATGACCACCAACGTTACTCGGACCATCACTGCCAAGTATTATGCTGAGCGGCCCACGTACAGCTATTTTTGGGGCTGTTCAACTGGCGGTGCGCAGGGTTACGCGCTTGCGCAATACCACCCTACCCTATTCGATGGCATCTATGCTGGTAGTCCGGGAAATTGGTACAGTCATTTGATACTAAGCTTTCTATGGAATGGACTGCATGCGACAGGGAAGGGATTCATGAGCCAAGATGTTTTGAATTTTATCACTAACAGAACAGTGGCTGCCTGCGATGAGCTGGATGGTGTCAAAGACGGCTTAATTGAGAACCCGTTGAGGTGTCACTTCGATATCAAGACACTGGAGTGCCAACCCAGCCAGACTCCCATTGTCAATGATGAGACTCTCTGCTTGACTACAGCACAGATCCAAACCGCGCTCCAGGTTTATTCCGGCCCGAAAGACCAACGGACAGGGAAGCAGATCTATCCTGGCTTTGACTTAGGCTCAGAAACCGGTTGGCTGGCTCAAGAAACATCTTTGTATTCCTCATATGCGGCTCCGATTCTTCGACAGCTAGTATTCAAGGACAGGACCTATAACGTTACATCGTTTAACTGGGGCTCTGACGTTGATTATCTAGACCACACCACATCACCGGCCATCGACGAGATTTCTCCAGATCTGTCGGCATTCAGTCAGCGAGGAGGCAAGCTGATCACGGTTCAAGGATGGGCAGATCAGTACAATGCCGCTACCTGGCCGATCGAGCATTTGAAACGGATCCAGTCGACGGTCCAAGGGCAACATGCCTCTGATTTTATCCGATTGTTCATGGTTCCTGGCGGTGGACATTGTGGGGCCAATCCAGCGTACAGTCATGTACCAGCCACTTACCATGTTCTTGATGCTTTGTTGCCGTGGGTGGAAGATGGGATTGGTCCCGAAGAAATTGTGAGCTCTACGCCTCCTAACGGGTCAAATACAACTAGGAAGCTGTGTGTATGGCCGAAGGAGGCGAGAATTCTCAATGGAAGCGTAAGCGACTGGAAGAGCTACAAGTGTGCTTAGGTACCTTGGTCGGAGACACGTGATTTAGACACTATCGCTGTTTATGTTGAATCTTAGTATTTGTTCCATGGTTGGGAATGAAACCCAGGTGGTATAAGATAGCTCCCTTGTGAAGCCCCTGTTTTCGACTCTCTGGCCATCCCAGTGAGGTACTACTTGTATCTTTAAGGCTGGCAATCGGTATTAAGAGCTTGGTAGGGTTCTAGAGAATCTCAGTGTACCGGAATTAACAAACGGGGAGCAGAATAAATAGTGAGCCCCATGCTCCCAAAGGTAAGAAGAGTTGATGCACAAAGAAATAGGCTTTTTTACCTTCGACATCAAGTTCAGTATGGGTTAAGATTGATTTGGTCAAGCGCAGTCTACTGGCCTTTCCTTGCTGGCATCTCTTGGTGTTGTCGGTAAAATTTTGTTGCCCCGTTTGCCCAGCTCTTTGATATTCTGCTAGGTAAACGATTCGTTGGGTGCCTTTCGCTCAGGAATCGGCTTATCGTCATCCTATCGTTATTCTGCCTTGTATGTCCGCCTTCGATAAGGTGCGCTAGACAAGGGTCTGTAACACTCCTCTTATTCTAGAATACAGAGGACAAGTCTACCGTAAATATCGCGGGGCTCTGTCCATGTCGTTGTAGTATTCATCGCTAAACCTAACTATAGAAATTTAAACAGTTATTTTCAGGTACTCAATATATCCTCCTATCCTCTATAGAAAAAGTGCCAGAAATCTCATGCCTCAATACTCAGATACTTGATTTTGCTGTGCTTGCATGTGATGCTGATGGAACTCGTCCGGATGCAGCAATGTTCCATCTAGGATCTTGCCCAGATGTGTCTTATCGATCTCCTGTCCATCTCTCCGAATTTGCGACAGGAGGACCTTTAAGAATTTGAGTGGACTTTGGTGAAAGGTTGATCTCGATTCTTTATGGCCCTCAATTATGAAACCATCCGCTGCCACGGTTAGATGCTCGGGCGTTTTGCAAGACGCCACGCCAAGGAAATCACATATCTCACAATATTCGCTGTATGATCCGATGTATAACTGCCCTGCAAATAGGTTGAGCTGTAGTCTGAACAACGTGGGAATCTCGACTATGCTAGACCCCCCTGGGGTAGTGTAGAGTGTCAGGCTGTCCAGTGAGGAGTACCCTTGAATTTGACGTGGAGCATACAGATGCATCCGAACCGCTATGGACGCTTTAACCCTTGCTTGAAGTTGATTAGCCTCGAAGGGGCTGATGACCAGCATGCTTTTCACGACTGTGTCGCCTGAGGAAGGGTGACCCGTGCTCGTTAGAACCCATTGCACCGAGCGCTGATATAGATCTGACGCAAAGTGTGAACCATCTGGAACTTGGACCGTTCTGGCAAAATCGGCTGTAACGAGCAGACCATGGGGGAATTGCGAGATATCTAAGTGTGCTGCAGCTGACGTATCTCTTAATGTGTGAAACGCAGCCTCGTAGGCATCTGAGGGCTGTTTGAGGATGCCGGTGGACACGAAAGAAACAATATCCTGATGTACATAGTGCCGTGCTGGCTTTGCAGAAGGTGGCCGCTGGACCTGCCGTTCTTGCTCAATTTCGGGCGCCAGCTCACGCTCCTGTTCCTCTTGTAGCTGGGTAGAGGTGAAATCAAGATTGTCAAACTGTCGACATCTTGTCTGTATGAGGTCAACAGTCTCATCCCGTTCTAGCCGAGACAATATGAACGGAATGCGTGCCTGCTTTGGCCGGTATCGGTATTCAAGGGATTCTGACTCTGGCTCGAGGAAGGCATGCGCTTGGTCGACGGACATGGTCTGTGTACTATCCCGATCGATACTGCGCCACAACTGTGATTGATAAGCAAATCGTTCGCCTTGCACCGCCCATAGCGGCATACTACGTCGTAGATCAAACCACGTCTCTGATATGGCCCACCGAAGAATGTCCGATACCTCAATCCTGGCGCCACATTCTTTCCTGGTTACCAAGTGAATTTTGGCTTTTATCTCTTCTGGCACACAGAAAAGCACTGACTGGCCCTTGCCTAACTTCCTCATCCGCATGCATGCTGGTGGTTGGATCAGTGTCAACTTTCGCTAAGTAAGGACGAGGGCTTCCTACCTTGAACTAACTTGTCTTTAGTAATCGCTGGTCCAAGCGTGACAGCGGCACGATATGCTGGTGGAAGTCTCAGGTCAATGCCCCGTGTGTGGGCCTCATCGAGGAAGATGATGCATGTTTCGAGCTGCTTGGCGAATGGAGAAATTTGCAGCAAGTCCACACGGCCATGTCGATCAAGAACACAAATTTCGTCGCTCTCGTTGACGAACACGACAGCTTGAACCCCGCCATTATCTGGCGTCATTCTCAACCAGTACTCTGCCACCTCCAGATTGTTGAGCTCTAGGATCTGAGCTCCTACATCGAGAATCACCTGGACCGGGAGATTTAGATTCCGTACCATATCAATGATGGTGTGCGAGTAGGTGGTGGAGTTTTTCTGCGTTGGAATGATCGCAACGGAGTTCTCGGGCTGAAGTAGATAATCCAGAACCAGAGCATTAGTATGACGCTGCTCCAGAAGGTCTAGTTGCCTTATGGTAAGAGGGAGGGTCTCCCGGGAGTCGTTTGTCCCACTGAAGCCGATCGTTGGATGCGTTCTAATTTCTCCTATATCCCATCCGGACGCAGACAGCTTCTCTGGAAATTCTCTCAACTCCTTTGCAAAAACGAAATGGGCAACGAAATAGTCAATGACCGACTTCGCAAACCGGAGACAGGGGAAAATATGTTTTAGACAAAGGTCGTGATCTTCGAGGTTGACTCCAGGTAAATGGTGATATGTAGGGTCGAGGGTTGGTGCATCTTCTACCCACGCATGGTATTCCGTGTCCGCTTGGTCGGATTTTGCCAGTCGCCTGAATGCCATGTAAAGCTCATCATCATGAAGACCAGAGCGATAGTAGCTGAGTAAGGTTAAGATGATAACAACATCTGGGTGACTAAATTCCGATCGAGGAGCAGGGCTATCTTTGCTGCGGTATGGTACGGCGAGCTTGGTAGGAGGCTTCCTAGTCGCATCTGGCCCGTAGTTGACACGCCATCGTTTTTGGCCGAGACAGAATGCGAGCACACCCTGAGCCAAGAGTCCTCGCAGCAAAAGAAGGGGCCCTCTGGTGGTATCAGTCCAAAGCCCCGTTGTGTTGCTTTCAACTGCCTTGATGGAATCAGCAGGTGGCTGCTTTTCCAGCAAATAGCGGAAAACCGCGGTTCTTGCTGACTCTGGTTGCCTGGCCACCGGGCAAAAGTGAATACCATTTTCGCAAATATGCTGTCCGATCCGCTGGAGGAGTGCTTCCTCCGCATCACCCCGAAGCAGCCGTACCCCTGGAAAACCCCCAGGCCTTTCCTCAGAGACCTCTATGGATGCAGGAAAGTCCCCTTCCAGGCCTGGGGCATATATTCTCACTAGGCTCAACAGTTGTTGTATGATAACCCATCTCTCCGGGCTGAGCTCAAGAGGGCGTTGGGATCCCATGGTGTAGATCAACTCAAACTTGACACTGAAATTTTCATCGCTCTCATCCACAACGTCTCGCGAAAACCCCTTGAATAGCTGTAGCACTGTTCGAAGGGCACGACCCACAGATACTTTACCAGTGACAAAGGACTCAATGCACATCAGCTTTAGGGAGAGAAGATGCTCTGGCTGGACGAGGAGCACACCACCGTTTGCCATGCACTCCCGACACATGCTCTCCAGCTCTCGTATCTCCGTTTCCGACAGCTGTAGGGAACGTGAAATTGGCATGAGATACACTCTCCGACCCAAAAGACCCCCCAGTTTCGAGACTAGCATCTGGAGCATCTGCCGAGACTGTGGTTTTGCTACTAGCACACGAACTAGACAAGCGCCGTGTGCAAGGGCAGCCACCACAATCGGCACGATCACCGATGACTTGCCTTCACCCATGTTTAGCTGCATCACGGCGTTTTGTCCAGGACTACACTCTCTCATCTCTTTGGCCATTTGCTCCTGGACATCTCGAATAAGAATCCCGTTTTCGATCTCCAACAAAAGGGACTCTGGGAACTCATGCGGATTCCAGTTACTGTGACCGGGGGTTTGGAGCTCTCGAATGAGGTCATTGCGATCCCCAACTGTGCTGACCAGTCTCTGCGCCCACTGTAGTGTCGTTATCGAGAGTCCATACGTGATGATGCAGGACTTCCACTCATCAGGTAGCCCAGGCCACCTATGACGTGTCAACTGCTGAAGGAGGAAGGCTTTGGAAAACCGAGGGCAATGGTTGATCTGAACGAGGACTGCTCGAATTTTGTAATGCATCATGTGTTGTTGATCAGCACAGCTTGTAGTGGTCGCAGAAGGCATCATGTGTGATTTGATGGCTGTGTAAATGTTGTTGGAATACGTTTTACAAGCGTCTAGGTACTCCAGGAGTACCGGTTCCAATTGATCGTCGTCCATCTTGACATTCCACGACATTTTCGTTTCCAAGAGGCATCTGACACTGCTGCGTACTTGATCCACATACCTCATCTCGAAGTGTGACCGTGACTGCGATGCAAGGGCACTGACAAATTGTACAAGAGGACGTGTCAAGTTCCCCGCGATCGGGCTTGAGTAAAGAAGCTTTTCTAGGTAGGGCTGCTCCACATCCAAAACAGGTGGTGATGGGCCTAGTAGGTCATCCACGGAGAGGAATCCACACCTCTCCCGGGGAGAAGATGCTATGTATAATGGAGAAGCTCGCATTGCCGACATTTCCACAGAGTGAACAGGTTGGTGACATAATACTTGTGCAATGGTCTCTAGATATCCTCTGAATGCACAATTACTGAACCAGACGTAAAACATCTGGTTCACCGATTTCATAGCCTGCCATGTGTCAAAGTAATCACTGAATCGAGGGTTATCTTGAGTGCTAGGTAATGTTGCGGATCGGGCTGGCCATTGACTCCTAAGCTCCGTTACGAACCAATCGCGGACTTTGTTCCTGTTCTTCTTCCGTAGTTCACTACAACGCGACTTGAACTGTTTCGTGGTTTCATAGGGTTTTCGGGAAATATTCGACTCTGGAGTCAGTGTCAGTTGAGCGGACTGAATGCGAGATACAATAATGCCTTGGTCAAATTGATACCCCTGTTCTAGAGTATATGAGTCATGCTGTGGTAAAGCAACAGAGGCCATTTCTCGCACCGCGTGAAGTGCAGCTAACGTCTCGAGCACAGCCATATTGCAGTTCTTCGCAAATCCCAAGGTGCAGAGCCAGATCATTAATTGGAACCTATCCAATGACGAGTGTTCCGAACAAATATGTCGGTGTATACCGCACCAGTACGCGGAGACCAGAATGTTTGGTTCTACAAGCAATCCCGCGTCGTATTTGAGAGAGTTTAGATCGAGCGGAGTGTTTGAGCCCTGAGTCAGGCCGAAGCTGGAGATAAAACTCCAAAGCGTCTTTGTTAATCCCTTCACCACGAACCTTTGTGCGCAAGGAATCTTGTCGTAGACAATCTTGGCCAAACGGAAAGCCCGGGACGCCTCTACGGACTCGCGGTTTGTATCCAGCCCGGTGTAAGGTCTATCGTATTTATCTGTGTGGTCCTCGGCGCCAAACCCATATACGCGAAATGCGGACGAGCGTATCTGATCCCGTTTCTGTAAATCTTTATCTATAGCGGGTAGCGGTGGGCGTGTCGTTTGTATATCAGGATTAAACATTTCCATCCGGCGGTCATGGTGGAATATAGCAGTGACTTCCTCATAGAATCCACAGTGCTGCATCAGAAACCCTAGGTCTCTTTGCCATGTAATGGTTTGCATTACTCGTTCATTGGCAGGATAGCATTTGCGGCTTGGGGTAAGATGTGCGATCTTTGTTAATATTGCTATATTTTCTGGTCGCAATCGATGAAAGGATCTTACTGCAGCGGAGCGAAGGATGGACAGGGCTTGCTCAGTACCCGTCTTTTGCGTAAGTGGGTCGGGCACACATAATGATGTCAAAGCGTGCAAATAGCATAGTAGCAGCTTACTCTGTAAGTTCCCGTTATCGGCTAAGCAACCCAAGTCTCTTTTCACAGAATATGCGTGAAGATTAGCGGTGGCGTCCCAACCAATCTCGACCCGCATGTGATGGCGCTCCTTTTCCCAGGACACAGTCCCTTCCGGTATAAGAACCATGCGTTCCTGGAGGTCTTTGGAGACTAGGATAAGCTTATTCTGCAACCCAACCAGTGTCCCCAATGACTGATCGGTGTCAATCGACAAGCCACGGTACTGACGGGAGTGAATCGACGAGTTCCCAGATTGGAGATCAAATCCCAACCGAAGCCTCGGGATGTCGATTTCTAGTGCTGATGATGCTAAGTGATACTTACAGTGTAGCTTCAACGGTCTTTCGATGGGCTGAAGAATGTCCGATAACCCCTTTGCCGTTGAGCTATTGACATTGACCAGACAGACTCCATCCGCTTCGAGGATCCAGCCAGTTTGGGAGCTGTTTCGTTGTAGTCGCCAATTGACAGAAGATGGTTTCCATGGCTCTTTTATTGGACGGAACTCTACGTGCTTCTTGTCCAAATCATACCAATGCGCAAATTCCTCTACAAACGCGTCCGGGAGCAGGCTGGCGAACAGCTGCGGTGGGATAAATTCCCAGGTCTGACCGTTTGCTGCCACTCGAGCACAAAGATTGAACTCCTGCGAGTCGGGCAGTGCTTGATTTCCCAGATGGACAACGTGGCCCTCATATTCCTTCTGGCAGGAAAAGCTCATCCCGGGGAGTTCACTGGGCATCACTTCCAAAACTGCTTGTCCGAAAAGCAACCTGTAGTTTCCGTGGCGCTCATAGGCCGCCGGCAAACGAGCTAACGGCAGGCCATTGATGAGTAGTTCGCTCGTCAGTAAATTGAAATAGATCATCAAGCTACTATCCCTGGCCGTTGGACACCCCATCCGTCTAGATACCCAAGGGTCATTAGCTTGCTCGGACATCGACCATCCAGTGCCAGGGCGGTACGCGGCCCAAGCGCGCGTGATAGCCATATCCAGTGCCGTGCTATCTCCAGCACGTATCTTGTTTTGGAGTAAATGGTAGCTACGATACGACAAAGCCCGCCAGCGATAAAATAAAACAGGAAGTGCAGTATCAGAGCCCAAATCAAGGACGTGGGCTTTGTCGTGTATTATCATGCAACATTGGAGGTATGTTGACACAGCTGGATTTTCTGTAAACATCTGCTCGAGTGTACTACCCTCTGAGTCAAATGTTTTCACGCACACCAGTGCCAGATGAACTTGCCGCGCGATCAAGTTGGTTTTGTATCCGTCAACAGCCATACCACTCGCTCTCTCCCCAAGTGATTTGACCCACTTGAAAGCTATGTCTCGGAGATCTCTTAATAAGTCCATTGACAGCCGCTGCATGTCTGTAGAACTTGAAAGAGACAATAGTCGTAGAACAAGTGACACTAGGACACTGAGCTCTTGTGCTGATTCCCAGTTCCGCTCGATTCTTTTCATTTCATCCTTGATCTTCGAAAGTAAAGCAGTAGTAAATTTGCTATCATCGAGAATCTTATGTCCTTTCCGTTGGATTGCATTTCCAGACGGCGGTCCTGCTTGGTATATTACTTGATGGATAAATATTCCAGTCTCCACTTTATTGAACACGACAGCCGGCATTGCCAGTTGGTGTAGAACGTTTTGCCACTGGATCTCAACGCCACAGGGTATCGTACAAAGTGCTTTGCATTCTGCGAGCGACATGCTGTCGGGGCAATCACCTTGCGATGCGATAACCGAGTTTGGCGGCAGGCCGTCTGGCTTGTCCGCAGGTCGAAAAAGATACCGCTGAAGGCCGGAATTTGAGAGGGGTAATTTCATCATGCACGACTCAGCAACAACATGCGTGAGTGTAAATCCACTGACGAAGTATCCTTTGATATTATCGTAATACTGAAGAGACATACCGTTTGCTAGACAAACCTCGTCTTCACCCACATGGATGATGCGCTTTTCCCGTCGATGTGTCCCTTCATGCGGCTTTATTTGTGAAAGGAGTGTAATTCGGTACGCACCACTAGATGCATAAGAGAATGATGATAGGCCACTATGCCGCTGAGGAGTGTACCTGGCTCTTGGTACCTCCTTGGTGGAATAGTCGACACCCAGGACGACCAATATAAAGAAAGTTGTGACATCTCGCCAACGTGCAAACACCTTAGGCACTTTTAGTTCGAAAATTGTCGATTTTGCTTGGAGACTGTGCTCTGGGAGAGGCCATTCATGAACTTTGATTTGAATAGAATCTGCCTCTTGCTGATACTTGCACTTCTGGCATGATGGATGGTGACGGGTCTCATATACCTCAAACTCTCGATCCACAAGAACATCACGATAGCTACAGTCCATACTATCAATACGGTGGTAAAGGTCTGCATATCTTTGTTGTTTGTCGTGAAGCTCAGCAAGCTTCGATCTTCGCTCTTGCTCTGCTCGCTCCACAATTGCGGCGTGCAATCTCTGGTGCTCAGCCGATGTATCGTAATATCTAACGGAGAAACAGTTCGGTGTACCGTAATCTCCAAAGATGCCTGGCCCTGAATACCTCTGGTCTTGTCTTCGTTGATCAAGGTACCTTTCTGCATCCGCAAGCCTTCTCATGTGCGACTGACGAGGTAACAAAAGCGACTGAAACATACCCACGGGGATACAAGCATCATAATCATGAAGAATCCCGTGTATGTGAATGGCAGCTTTGTCACATGCAATCCACAGCTCTAGAATGGTAAGAAACATGATTGATATGGCCTCAGGGTTAGAGGAATATACTACAGATGCAGTAGTATGGTACCATGTTATTAAATCCGCCAGTTGGCCACATGTGGAGTCCATGTCCATACTGGACTTAAGCCAGCCATCCAGTGATGTAACGACCCAGTCCTCAAATGCGGCAAGGTTATATACCTCATAGCCGTTATTTGAGATATCTGGGCGATCTGGAAGGTCTGCGCTTCTGTATGCCAACAGATGCGACTCGGGCTGAAAGTCGACTGAGACACCGTCCCGCTGTCCTCGCTCATCGGCCTCTTCCAGATACCGATCGAGGCCCGTCAGAGTGCAATGAATATCTTCGCTGAAATTTAACCTGGCCAATGACGGAAGGTCATTGCGGTTACGGTCCTGTCCGGTAGCATGATCCCTGCGATGTTGAAGAGTTTTACTTGCCGCGGCAAGGCTCTCCTGAACGGATCTAAACCACAAGGGCTCATAGTCCAGATCCAACTTGTGTAGCCGGCGGCCGATCTTGGCACTCATCGCAAGCAAGTATTCATTTGGCAATGATTCTTGGGACACTGCCAGGATGGAACTCATGAAATATACCATGAATTGTTTGTAGAGGCTGTCGGAGGCCCTCTTACTTTGCGACGACCTATGAAACGCCAGTTGTAGAACTACACGGATCAGGAGCCAGAGTGCCGACCTGCGCCAGGGGAATCGGCTATTAAGCCACATCACTTCTTCACGGGTGTGCTTCTGAATTTGTGGCACTTCAACGTCTCTGCACATTGGCCGTAGAAATGCTGTGAAGAGCTCTGTCACCATCTTCGGATGAATTGTGTCTCTGTCCTCATCATGTTCCTTGCGCTTTTTCTTGACTCTGCTCATGGTCCCTGGGGCGGATTGGTGGCTCAGTTTTGCCAAGGTTTCCGCGATTGTCCTCTGGAGGCTTGGATTATTGAAGGTTGCCAGGTCCAACGAAAGCGTCGCCCCCGGAAACTGTCGTTTCAATCGTCCAACCGTCGTTATTACAGCTTCGTTGCGCGGAGACAGTTCCCAAGACTCGACATGTACTGCATCATCTACCCTCGTCATCAAGACAGCAGCATTTTGGCAACGAGCGTATATGGGGAGAAAACCACCTCAACGACATGAGCAGAGCTTTCGCAAGGTAACAAATAGGATGGCCAAATACCTTCAGTTCCCAGTTGTACTAGCGCCTTTCGCAGTTCGACTTCATCCACGGCACCATGCTTCCCACAAATGGCTCTCAACCGTGTGAGCATCATAGTAACATCGAACAGAATGCCAGACCAGTCGGAGCGCGTATCGCATTTGAATTCTCTCAAAGCATGAATTACCCTATCCAGCAGGAACGCGTCACGCTGAGCTGTGTAGTCATCCCCTTCTGGCAGCTTCGGTGGCAGGAAAACATGATGAAATACATAGAGGTTCTTGTCTGAGAGCATTTTCGTTGTAAAGCTGTGTACTCATAGGCTTTTTCTTCGATACTAAAAAACACGGATGTGAAACACCACAAGTACTATATCTCAAAACGAAATTTAGCGATTGTTGGTAGAGTAGCGATTGAGACTGATGCTATGTATATATATTTTACCCCAACCCATTACTGACCAGTCGTACCAGTCTGGTATGTACATTCAACTGACCTCTGATTTCCGGATCACACATTCCGTATCTATCCTTGCATGGAGGCTGCGCAAAAATGCAAGGAGACATCTGGACCCCTCACTAAGAGACACCTATTTCCAAGATAGGCCTTTTATACTTGTATTAAGGCTTAATGCAGCGGCTTCCTACCCAAGAAGGATGTGCAAGGCCTCCCTCATCTGGATCCGTGTCGCACGTTGCTGGTGTTATAAACCCCCTACATGTTGTATTTTCGCATCCTCGGTAGTGAAGGGTGAAAAGCTAGCGTCAGGCAGAAGGCAGCCAAGTCAAGGAATGGCTAACAGGGAGCCGGACGCTATACCTGTTTTGGTACTATCTAATCGAGAACTTTTGAACTTCCTTTTCGGGAATGTTGATCAGTATAAGGTCACTCATCAAAACCATAAGCACGCAGACAGAAATTTCTTCCTAAATAACCTTATTTCATCCCTATTTGCTTTCGATTTACGTCTCAAAAAGTGGCTGGCCGAAATAAATAGATGGAATCAACCCATAAAAAAGCGCATGCTAGCCATATATTTATATATATATTTGATTTTTTCTTATGGTGTATTTTCGAGGCGTTTGAAAAGTCTCAATTCTTGCTTCCTTACCCCCTACCTTTCAAGCTTACTGTCAAGGAGAGATTAAACGTCTTGCTTTGGAGAATTGATGAACGCGTCTAACGGTGAAGAGCAGTGGGCATTTCTGGATACGTAATAGCAACAGCATATTCAATGTTCCCTTTTATTTACTCGAGAAGCAGTTTCTCCGAGGTTTGATGACTTACCTACTTTCTACATAGTAGACAGTAATGTGTAACCAACCTTGACTTCAGAAAAGCTGAAGCAACTCAAAAAGCTCGTGGTTTCGCATAGAATCTGTCAGATTCTCAGAGGCAAGGACAAGGTCGATCGTGGATTCACAATCTCCACCCTGTCCTCCACCATGCCATGTCTTTGTGCCTCATTTGAGTAAACTGCTGAGAGCAAATTCATTCATAACCTCAATGATTGGACATACTTCCCCCTGTCTTTCCAGAAACACATCGTCTCCTCCCCAAAGTTGATCATGTCGGTTAAAGTCTCCCATAATCATTACCTCCACCACTGTTCCCGTGTCTAACATTACCTTTGTAATTGCCTTGCGTAAGCTATTGCACGTGCAATACAGGGCCTGAGCGTCTCCTTCTTCTACATAAACTGATGCTATGAAAATCAATCGTTCGGGAAGCTGGATGACCGCTGCTGTCAGATCCGGGGATTCTATTGGCACTTGTTCCGCTTCCACATCCTTATTCACCCAGAGCATGCTTCGGATTGCCCATCTACCTTCCCTCCATAAACAAGGGACTATCTTTGTCCAGTTGTGATGTCCCATTGGTGTTGTCAAGAAGTATTCTTGTGCACTGAGGGCTGAAACCTGCTTCAGTCTCATAAGCGAGGTTTGCTGTTAACTCCATATAATTAAGGATGCGCATACGGTATGAACCAGAACAAAGCTCCACAGATTTAGCGTATGCAAAATTGCCTTCAGTTCTTGACACATCTTTTCAACTCTTCGCGCACGATGTATAAAATTGGCTATTTTAAATGCGTATAGCTTAGGGCGCGAATGCAGATCAAATGAGGAAAGATATTTCTTTCTAGGTGCTAGCAACTCTGCCGCGTTGGGACTATAGTGCACGAATTGGTTTAGGATTGTGCTCCGGATAGACGGGGAGGTAGTGCTTCTGGAACATCATATTCGTTTAGTTTCGACCTTGGAGGAATTGCGGGCGCTATAGTTAATGTGCCTGATCATCGTTCCTTGCTCCATTCAGCGATTTGAGAGGAGTATGTGGTTCGGCGTTCTTAAAAAAATCAGTTCGTGTGCATTCCTTGCCCAAGCGGCTACATCTCTTGTAGGACGGAAATGTCTCGTCACATTGAACATGACTTTGACGGCAGTTGAGACAGCCCGTGAACCGTTTGGTTTTATGCCTTCGACGCATACGACCGTGGCCTCCATCAGGGAGTGAGACAGGGCACTGGTGTTTTCCGAGTGGTCATAGGTGTGGAGATACTTCTTGGTTTTTAGCCTTGTAACTTCAGCTTTAGGAACACATGCAAGGTTGTTAACGAGGCCAACTTATGGCGAGGCCTAATAGTAAAGGCCACTACTACATATTTATTTTTTATCTATACTATATAATTTAATTATAAATATATATAAATAGATATAAAACTTATTTTTTTTTAAAAAAAAGATTTTAATAATAAATTAAACTAAGTTTATAAATTAAATCTATCTTTTTATAATTTTAAATAATATATAAATTTATAATATTTTAAGCCCCATAGTTAATTTATAATAATTAATTTTTATTTTATAGAAATAAATAAATATTTGCTTATAAATTATTATAGTACTATATTAATTATATATATAAATAATATTATAATAATTAATCTTAATATTTGTGATCGTGACTACAACGCACCGCTAAGGAGGAACGCTATGACTTGTAGGGGGGCCCCGTAGCTCCACCAGGGAGCTACCTCACCGAACCCCCCAACGTGTATATAAAGACCGTAGCTACCCCCCAGACCTACAGAAGGTCGGCAACTCTCTACCTCTCATAGCACACCGCTACTTGCAATCTCATATTTATATTTAAAAAATAAAATTATAATTTGTAATTTATTTAATATAATACATATTAATATAACTAGTTATTATCTTAGAAAAAAGATTATATAGAATAAAAAAAAACGAAATTATATGTCTACCGTGGCAAGAAATAAACACTAAATATAGGCAATTGCTGCTTTGGTCCCTTTATAAGATTAAAACTCAATTCTTTAAAACACATAGCTCCAAGTCTTTACCAATAATAAGTGACTAGCCTAATGCTCAAGTTCCTTTTCTCCTAAAATTCAATTTTGAGAGTAGGTGGTGTCGAAGCTGGTGTCGGTAAAGGAACTGGTTCTGGGAGCTTCTCGTCGTCTGCTTTTAAGATGACCTTGTTACGCCCGGGGCTTCGTCAAGTCTGTGACCAGTTAGCGGACCACGTTTCGAGGGTTACTAACCTGAAGTCGCTATTCGACTTCCGTCGTTGTCGGGTTGCGGTCTTGGTAGGGCGGAAGTCGACACAAGACTGCCGTCGATACTAGACTCGAGTCCAAAGGGCCGGGCCTACTAAGTACATATACTTAATAGTTAGAAGAGTGCGAACGAGTTGAAACTAGTCGTGCTACTAAAGGTAACTCTGTAGTAACAATTTGGATTGATCACGAAGAACTAAACTAAGTACATGAAATGAGTGTTCTTATATATATCCTCCCTTGTAATGTCACTGCTACGACTCTTCGTGTCAGTGATACGATGTGTCTTGTCGGTGCTACGAGCTCGTCGTGTCGCTGATACGTTTGGTCGTGTCACTGCTACGATGCACGTGACTTTGTCGTAGTAGCCGGTATTGGCGTTAGTAGCCCTTTCCGAATAACTACTCGCCAAAAATGGTCTTTATCGACTACAATAACTGAAAATGGTCTAAGGAAATATAGACTTCCTTTGTCCTACCAAAGCGGGAACAGGATCTTCTCAAGCGATCAGGTAACACGGCAATGATAACATCTTGCTTTATAACCTTGTTTCCTGCCCTAAGTAACCACTCTTCTTCCACCCTCACAATTGTGTCAGTCACTCATTCTCAACACCACACAGATGTTTCAGCCTTTAATCCTCATTGCTCTGTAGCTCTCAGCTTTGGCTGTCGGTATAGGAATTGGACCCGGAAGTCAAGCCGGAAGCAGCGGAACAGGAGGAGCTAGAGGAAATACATACCAGGTTCCAGTTTCATCTACTCGACAGATACACGACCAGTGTGTGGGAGTTCAGATACTACCAGCGATAAACATCAACGCAGCACCACCGGAGCCGAACCGAGGTGGAGCCAACAGAGCCGCTCAGCCTGCATTGAATGTCGCAGTTCCAGATACAAGATATGGAAATCTTGAACCGAGCACGGGTGAGCCACCGGTGCCACCAAACTCACCGATAAAGCGCGAACCTGTACCGCCGGCCAATGTACCACCTGCCAGCAACTTGAATCAAGCAACCGGAAACTCGAACGTACCACCAGCACTGCCTCGAATCGGGCTATTCGGCAATTGCAGAGCCGCCGGTGGGAACGCACGCCCCACGGAAGTGGGCTTGAACACTTGCCTTGGTTGGGATACTTTGAGCGAGTCATTGATTGCTCTACCAAAGTATGTACAACCCCGTAGTCTCCGCATTCATATTTCTCTCTGTTCTGCCTTGCATGCTGTGGATACTAAATATTGTAACTAGTGGACAAGGACTTGCGCGTGGCGGTTGCTGGGGCTGTCAGTACCTCAGGATCTCTCAGGACAGGTACCGAATCGATTGTTGGTGCGATAATGTCGTCCAGCGTCCCTTAGAATATGTTGCTCGGGGATCACAGAGAAGGGCGGCTAGGATCTCGTTTAACCAAGGTGAGTGCTGGACCAATATTAAGCTGATTTGAGCTAACATGCTACAGATGGGGTGTTTCAATTAGTCAATGGTCAACTCACCTGCCCTCAACCAAGGTCTTAAGAGCGAGTGCCTTTATTTTGCGAACGATGGTTGACTGTGATGAGTATATATAGGGCATGGGAACAGGCTGACAGGACAACGACGGTACATAGTCAGGCTATGAAACAGACGTATATAGCAGAAATGACGCAGCTCAGAGGCTGGGGACAGGCTCGAAGCCGGACATTGAGAGGTGATGGCACCACTTCGGCAGCCT